GCCACGCCGGAGCAGATGGGGCAGAATCTGCGGGGTGCGAGATGGGACATGTGCATTGCGCGTCGGAAGGCTCGAATTAAGTCGATCGAGTTCGACTGGGAAAAGCTCTTGTAGTCGTTTGTCGACCATATTACTGTCCGCCAGAAGTTCCAGAGGCGGGCCACTTTCCTTTTATTTTTTTTGGGGGGGCCCGTTGCCCTCGAGGCGCCCCGCCGACCCCGCGGCGTGAACCTTCGCCGGAGACGCTCGATGAATGCCGTGGCTACATAGGTCTCGACCGCTGCGTCCTGAACTCGCGGCGCGCGGGCGCGCCGACGCGGCGTTGTGGAGATTGCTGCCGCTGGTGATGACCGCGCCACAGTTTTTGGAGGTCGAGGGCGAGGGTAAGAATGCTGAGCCTGGCGGCAGTGCTGCCGGCCTTCCGCCTGGGATGCGTCAGGCGCAAAATGGGCGACATGCGCGTGCGAGGGGCCAGGGGCCGTGACCTCCTGCGTCGCTTTCCCAGGGTTGGGCAGCTCTACGGGCCGGCCACCCGATTCCGTCGGCGCGTCTTGGGCAGCCAACAGAACTCTTGGAGTTGGCTGGGGTTGAGCCGAGTTGCGTGCTCAAGGGTGGACCTCCAATTCATCGCGTGACCGGCGATCAGCCGCGGGACCCCAGACATCAGCCTTCGAGCTATCAGCCCGCCCCAGTGGACGGCGGCGCTATCAAGGACCTGCGAGACAGGAACACTGGCGCGAAGCGTTGCCGTCGCGCGTCCTTGGCCGTGCTTTTTACCGACCAGGTCTTCATCTGCCCGAAGTTGGGGTGCCGCTGCCCTAGCGAAGCCGATGTTGACGAGGGTGGGCCCATTCCGCCAGTGAGTGACTGCCGAAGAGTATGGCGCTCCTACTGCTGTTTACATTGACGCGTGCACGCCGCAAGAAAGTTCGTTTTCCCACTTGGGCCATCGCCGGCACGTATAGCCTTAACGATGAGATTGCCGCCGAGGAAGGGGAGATCTACGAGCGTTGGTGCACTGTGCGTCTGGGGGGCATGGTTGGATGCATCAGGCAAACGCGCGGGCCGTGAACCTCACCTATCAGAAGACAGGAGCACGGCGATGGGAGTCGGCCGCTGTTTATCCAGTCGGCCTCGGAGGTTGTTGACGTGACCGCGACTTGTGTCCGTGCCGCCGTTTTCCCGCCACCTCGGGCACCTGTGGCGACCGCCGTCGACCCGGGTGCCGATGGGCCCGGATGGCCTTCCTGACGAGCCAGATGAGGATTCCGAGGGCCTGCCCGTGGCGGATCCTGCTGGGATAGAGCAACCCACTGGCACGCGGGTATGCATATCAGTGCATTCTGCGGCAGTCGAGTCCGGGGTAAATTCCGAGGAAGACAAGGAATCGGTGGACAAGTCGGTACCCGACGCCGACAGGCATGTGGTGCAGCTGGCGGCGAGCCTGGGGCCCGATTGCCGTGCCATCGCGCTTGTGGCTTCTCCCATAGATCGATTGTGGATCAAGACTTACTCGGGCTACATTTCTCCTGCTCCAATCCCCCCCCGTGCTCGCGCCGACGCGTTGCCGGAAGTGTCCGGGCGGGATGTTTTCGCCTCTCCGGCGTGCCGGGCCCTCCGAAAGGCCCGCGCATTTCCGAAGCGGAACTGAGGGTGCTTCTGGGCGAGCGATGGGTCGCGGCACATTGGGGGTGGCAGCGTGCCGAATGTGCGCAATGGGACGAGAGCTCCCTGCTGCCTGCGATAGACGAGGAGGAGACGGGTCTCCTGATGGTCGATCCGCGGACAGCGAGGAGACTGGAGGTGGCGCGTTGCTCAGGCCCTGCTCTGCCCGTCCTCCCCCGGAGCGCAGATGACCCAATTGGTCGGCCCGCCGCCGCGGAGAAAGAGTTGGCGGGTGACGTTCCCCTGGAGATGCTCTGCAACGTGAGGGGGCATGGAAGAGAAGTTGCGGATTAATTTCCCCGGGCGCGTTGAAACGCGACTGACGCGAAGGACATGCCCATTGCAGCTGCAAGCTAGCCCCGTGCTTCCCTCTGAGGATCGCCGGCTGCACGCGTCGTCTAGTGACATCGGGGGCGAGGAATCCACGCGCGTTGCTTGTGGGAATGGCGAGACACAGCGTTGCTGATGTTATAGACTCAGGGGGCTGGGTTGAGGCGAAGAACGCCGTCGATATTATTTGCTCCGAGGGGGTCGACAGGCCGCGGGCTTGGCTGCTGCGCGCTCGCGCGTTGCCCAGGCAGGCCGCGCGCGCGCTCGGCGTCCACATGCGTGACGAAGACATGCCTGAGGTTACCCGGGCGCCTTGCTTGGATGAGCTTTCGGAAGGGGGCGCCTCGCGATGACAGTGCCATCGACCGTCAGGACATCTTGCTACCCACCATTGAACCGCTCCTGTTTCGCGCTCGTTGTGGCCGCTCTCTGCGAGTGGTTTCACCTGGGCGGCTCTACGTCCGATGCGAGCAGACAACGGCCAGGGTGTTGCCGCTTGACCTCCCGTTCGTTTTGCAGTCGATGGCCAATGGGAATGATTGCCCGAGAAAAAGACAACAGGTGTAAGAGGGAGTGCAGATTCATAGCTGCCCCCCAGTCCAAATTGCAGACTCCCCATCTCCTGGCGACGATTACGCCAGGGGCGGGGAAGATGCGGCCAGGGGGGCCATCGATCTCATTGATCGGACCTCCAGGGGCTTTCTCGGTGACCATCTAGACCAGTTTCCCAGATGGCTGCGGCCAAGAGGGTTGGTCTCGGGCGCGTTCCGCCGTTGGTCTCGATGTCCGTGTCTTCAACGAGGATGGCCCAGAGAAGCTGCCCGGTCAATGCTTGGCAACGGCTTCATCGCGGATCTTTGACGCAGCCGTGTTCTGGATGATGCCGGGTGGATCTCTCGCAGCGGAGTTCCGGCCGCAGTTGAGTGACATCCGCCGGATCGTGCCTGTTCTTGTTGCTGGCGCAACGGTCCAGACCGTGTCTTGGGCCGTGGTTTTCGATCGCCAATCTTACGGGGTATGGGCCCGGCCAGTCGTTGACTCTGGCGGTGTGGATTGTATGAAGCACAGGGGGTGTTCCGATGGAGGGGCGATTGCAATGGCGAGCGGTCCTCGGCCGAGTTCAATGCGAAATTAGTCTTGCCGCCGCCGTGGGGCGATGGGTATCTCATGTGGTCCAACGCGTGCAGAAATCGCCTGGGCGCCCTGCGTCTGCGCTGCCAGGTGCCCATATGCTTCTGCCCGCGCATCGGTGCTCCACGCCTCACGCGGCCAGCAAGGCCGTGGAGCGAGCTAGGCTCGGCCTCGTGAAAATGGCGTTCGCGATCGTTGGCAAGTGAGCGGGGACAGTCTCCCTGGTCCTGTGCAAGTCAGAGACGTGAAGTTCTCGGCGCAATGGCGCATTTCCGAGAATAGAGCCTTCAAGAGTGAAGTCAAGTGGCGCAGACCCTCTGTGGCGCGGTATCGGCGTGAGCGGCCTCTTCGGGGGCAGACAGCATTTCAACGCGACGTTATGTCAGTCTTTGCGTGGCGCCCATCATCTTGAAATGACACGTCTCCGCCGGAGATCAATCCATGGCATTAGATGAAAGCGCGGAAGCTGGGTATGCGCTGGCTGCGTTACCAGGATATTCCCGGTGACCTTGCTATCGGCACTGGGCAGCTGTGCCACCGCGCGTGTGGTGGCCATGCTACGTGCGGCGTGCCCGACGGGAGCTTCCAGCTCCGGGTCTGGCGTCGCCAGTGCCAGGCGTTGGTGCGCGGACTTACGCTTAACCGAAGCACGCGACAGGAACGTGCAGTCGGTGGAGGCGCCGCAGAGAGAGGCGCATATCCCCCCTGGCAACAGCAGGCCGCCGCCTGGAGGCAGCATGCGGAGGTGGCGCTTCCGCGTCCTCCGTGGCTTTCTGACACTGGCAACCACTGGTCCTCGTGGAACTCATTCCGAGGCTCTTTTGAGGCTCCAGCAGATGGCAGGGCTGGAACAGAAGGCAGAGCCAGGGCAATCAGAGGCGCGATGGTCGGGGACAGTGGCGATGCGATGATAGGGCAGGGGGTTAGTTTTGGGAGCGTGCCCCAATCTTTCACTGGCACGTTTTAGGGCCGTGCCCTGTGCGTGCTGGTGCGCCGAGGCATTCAGCAGGCTGGTCGCGCTATGAGCTGAACGCTGGGCGTCGGGCGCTGGCGCGCCATCTCACTAGGGTGGGACATTCCGAGTGGTCTTGGCTAGTTCCGTGGAGCCGTGGCGGGAGTATTTCTCCCCTGCCACGGTTTCCTGTGAAACTTTCTCTGGGAGTTGCGCCGTGGGGGGCCAGAGGTGGCCTTTGGGAAGGGGTGAAGTCCGCCCTTGGCTCTCGGGACCTGCCGAAGCTGTTTGGCTTGTTCCGCCTCTTTTGCTCGGGGCGTTAGCCAGCGTGGTGACGCCCACCCGTGCTCGGCAGTGCCGCGCTGGGATGCCGCGGTGGGAGTCATTGCTAACGCTCCCCTCGCTAGTTTCATCACCCCCGCCGCTGCCCTCCAAATAAGGGCTAGAACAGCGGAGAGGAAAGAGAGAGAGAGAGAGTTTTCTCCGCAGTGAATCATGTGTGTCAAAAGGGTGCGCGCGCGGCCTCTCTCCGCCTTTTCGGCCGGCTCGCCGGCTCCCGCACGTGCGAATACACGTGCTGTTAAACAGACCGTAAACCATGCTACCATGTTCATTGTCAATCCGTCGGGACCTTACAGCCTCTTTTCTACAAAACGCACAGGAATTGTACGAACCAGGAGCATCAACACGTTATTATCCATACTAAGCCTTTGCCTGATATCGTGATGAATCGGCAAATAATTATCTAAACATCACCCGCCCTCTGCCCCAGAAGCCGCTGCAGAATTGAAGTTTCAGGATCATAAGGGACGAGGAGGTCTCATGCGAAACGTCGGGCCCGCCCACTCGACCCGTCTGGGGCTGCGACGGGGGGCGGGGCTGTTTAAAGGAGCATGGATGGAGGGAGGAACGAGGAACGAAGACGGGTGACCCGGCGGCGAACGTGAGGCCGGGGCGACAGGTGAGGAGGTGTGGTCGAGGGCAGGGACGGGCCACGCGAGGGCTCGCGCGCCGAAAAGGGCACGCGCAGCGGCCAGGGGGCTCGGGGAAAGCAGGCGCTGCGCGCGTGAGGCGTCCGGTGACCTCATCAGGGACGGGTCCTTGGCGGAGAAGGCGCGCGGTGTCTGTGTTGTGTGGCCTTTGGCCTCCGCGTCGGCGTCCGATGCCTCTCTCCGTTCCTCCAGTTTTGCTTCCCGTCCTTCCCTTTCTCCCGCCCCTTTTCCGCCCCGCTTCGCTCCCCTCTCCCCTCCTTCTCTGCTCGTCGGTTTCTCACACCCCTCCCACTCCTCCCTCGCCCATCGTTTCCCTCTTCGTCCCCGCCTTGCACCCTTGGGGTGGGGGGCTGTTCGGACACACCCCTATCGAGGATGGACGCCCTCCCCCGGCAGATCCCCCAGCTGGGCGCCAAATTAGTTGCCCGTTTAAAGCTTCCACGAAGTCCAGGATTGGGGCCAGAACCTTCGACTTGTGATGCACATTGGAGGCCCATGCCAAGAAACACCTTGCTTGCCTCCAGAGTGCCCTGGGTTTCTTGGGTTTCGATTGTTTTGCCGTGGAAGGCGTGACGTTCCCACACCAAAAATCAGTAGACGTCCTGGGGTCTCAGGGTTCGGTTTCGTGTCGAAGGTTTCTTGTGGTTGTGCCCCGACTGTACATGTCCATCGCCAGGGGCGCCGATGTTCCTGGGCCTCGGAAGGCGGCGGATAGCAGTACACTCCGCGGCCCCGATGTATCCCTGTCCGCGTCGTCCTGGGACACCGCTTCCCCAGGCGGTGGTCAGGTGTACATTTTCGGGGAAATGTAAGACTCGAGTAAGCCAGAATTCGGGTTTGCCGACTTCTTTTGACGAGCGCGTCCTGAATTTTGACGGGGCGGTTTTCGTGGGATGTTCGCAGCAGGAACTCGCGTCAAAGTTTTTACTGGGCCATCTTTCTTTTCACTGATGGCCCTGTCAGGCCAACCCGGGTTCCCCGAACCCGAGTCTTATGTCTCCCCGAACATTCCCGCCTCGCATGGACCTCCCTTGACTCCTTCGACGCCCGCGACCCAGACGCCCTGTGGCGGGCTCTCGGCGTCAGGGCGGCCAGGACATCGGCGACTGTGGTCGCGCTTCTCGCCCCGTGATATACATGTCCACCGCCCGTAAAATCGCCGGTGGCTCGCAGCTGTTCGTCGTTTGTGCGCGCCTGGCGTGGGCGCCCCGCTGGCGCGACGAGGGTCCGCTCGCGCACGCGCGCGGCGGCGCCCACTGCGTCCATGTCTGCGCCGGGCCCAGCGGGCGCCGGCGTCGCTGGCGCGGGCCCGCGCAGCAGTCAGCACGTGAACGTGCGCCCGGAGGACCTGCGGGCCTGGCTCGTGGCCGAGCTCCGCGAGCGCGGCGAGGCCGCCGCGGCGGACGAGGCCTCGCGCGTGGACGCGGAGGCCCCAGACGTGGTGGCGCGGCTGCGGGCGCTGGCCTGTCCCGAGGCTCAGGAGAAACAGGGACCACCGCCACCGAGAGCCCATCGGGGGGAGCCCGCACCTGGGCGGTGGCACGTGGAGCGTCGTCCTGTACTGGGTGGCGCGGGCGGGGGGCCACCGCCCAGAGGTCGCCCCCCTCCGCCGATGGGCTCTCGGTGGCGGTGGTTCCTGTCTCACCTCTGGGAGGCCTGGCGGGCCGTGCAGCGGCAGGCGGACCGTGCTTCGCGGATCGTGCTGGCGAGCGCGCTGAGCGGCTTCGGCGCGCTGGGCCACCGCCCGGCGCTGCCGCAGGCCTGGCGCGGCGGCCCCGCGTCCGCCTCGCGCAGCCCGCGGCGCGGCCTCGCGGCCCGCGGCGCCGCTGCGCGGGAGGCGCCGAGGCGCTCGGAGGTGGCCGCAGCGCCGCAGGGCGCCCGTGTGCAGCTGTCGGCGTCAGCGGCTGGGGCCGCGGCGGCGGGGCTCGGCCACGGAGGGGCCCTGGGCACGACGGCGCAGGAGCATCCCGTCGAGGGCGCGCGGGCGAGCGGAAACCCTGGGCCAGGGCGAGGGAGCAGCGGCGACCATGCAAGAGCAAGCGGCATGGACAGAAGTTTTTGTAGCTTCGCGCGGCGGATCTCTCTTGACATGGCGCTGGACCTCCCCGGACGCACGGAGGGGGGTCCAGCGCCGACACAACCAATCCGCGCGGAGCTCAGATTTTCTGTTTTGCTTTTGTTTTTTGTTCTGCCGTCAGGCGAGGTGGTGGACCTGACGGAGCCCGCGGGCGACCTCAGCCCGAATGCGGAGGCAGATCTGGGGGCGCCTGCACGCAGCCCTGGGCCCGGCGGCGCCTCGCCGCCGTCGCTGCCCGGGCTGGAGGGGAGGGCGCAGTCGTGCGTGGCCGCCGTGGCCGCGCGGCAGCCGCCCTGGCGCCGGCTCTCCAGCGCGCTGGGGCCCGGCTGTGGGGAGCTGCTCGCGCGGGCGGCGGAGTGCTGGCTGCGGGAGGCGCTGCTGGCCGTGCGCGAGTGCAGCTGCGGGGCCGCCGCCGTGGAGCCCGTCCACGTGCGGCGGTGGCTGCTGCTCTGCGCGGGCGAGCTGCGCCCGCCGCTGAGGTGGCCGCCAGCGCTGCTGGCACGCTGCAGGGCGGAGCTGGCGCACGGTGCGGCGGGCGCGGCCGACCTGGCAGGCGCGGCCGCTTCGGCCGCGGCTGCCACGGGCGAGGCCCGGACGAGGGCGTAGCTGCGCCGGGCTGCGTGGTCGAGTGGCTGCGGCAAGCGACCCGTGGGAGCCGTCTTCTGGTGCCTGCGCTTGGGGCCCACTCCCCCACTTCGGTACGACCGAAACAGGTGCGGAGCAACTGGGGACGAAGACCGGCAGCAGCTCCTGTCCATTTTGAGCCAGGTTCGCTGTAGGTGTCTACGCGGGCGTTGTCCATTTCGGACAGAGGCTCGCCTCCCCAACAGTGGCCGCTGGTGGTTTCGAACAATGTTATTGTTTTCCGTACCCATTGCGGGCGTGCCAAGTATTTTGCGGCGCTGCCCTATCGCTGGTCAGTCTCAGACATTGCTATTTGTACTAATTGCGTTCGCGCAGAACCCCGCAGGGACCACGCGCACACTGAAACACATCTCGTAGCATAAGCGAAACACCGTGGCGGGCCTGTTCTTGCCATACCGCTCGGGTAGCGACATATTGTCATGTGTGTGGAGTATTTGTTCGGGTCGCGGACGTGCGCCTTCGACAGGAACAAATAGTATAGTAGTATGGCCTTCTGCGTCCCACACGGGCCCTCGGTCGTCCTATCTGGCCGGGCCTCCAAGGTCATCCTCCTCCAGCTTTTCTGTAAACGCTAGCAGGCTTCAGTCTTGTAGACCGGCAGGCCCAGACAGGAGGATGAGGAGGAGGAGGAGGAGGAGGACGAGGAGGAAGGTGGGGCTTGACCCCAATGGCGCGCGAAATAGCGGGAAAATAGCGGGAGCAGGAGGAAGAGGAGGAGAATGAGTAGGAGGAGGAGGAGGAGGAGGAGGAGGAGGAGGAGGAGGAGGAGGAGGAGGAGGAGGAGGAGGAGGAGGAGGAGGAGTAGGAGGAGGAGGAGGAGGAGGAGGAGGAGGAGGAGGAGGAGGAGGAGGAGGAGGAGGAGGAGGAGGAGGAGGAGGGAGCATACGTCGAGCTGGAAAACGGGGACCATACACGATCGATAGCCTTTGGAATGACTGGCTGGCCCCTGGGATGGGGGGTCCCTGGCATCCACTTGATCGGGGAGCAGCGATCGGTGAAGGTCCGTCATCGGAAGGCCGAGACCGTTGAAGGCTGAATGACCCACGCGGTGCCAGAAACCAGCCCCCATGACGCAAGCCCGACATGTGTGCCTCCCGGCCGATCCCGGGGTGGCCCTGGCGATCGACGATGGTGCTGCAAAGCTGCTGCCTCAGAAGCACGGTCGGCCGAGGCGCAGGCCATGGTCCGCCGCTCCGCTTCGCACCCGCCGACGCGCTGGTCGGAGCCCGCCGCGCCGAGAGCCGGCTTCCGGCAAGCCTCTTGGCGTCGGCGGCGAGGCGGCAGCGCTGCACCAGCCGGCGGCGACCCGGGGCGACCGATGCGCGAGTTGGTCGGCGTGCAAGAGGGGGAACAAAAGGGGACGAGGCGGCCGCGGAGGACAGGAGGGGGGGGAGGGCATCCAGACAGCCTCAGGCAAACAGCAAGCAGGAAGGATGAGGAGCAGCGGTTGGCATGAGCGAAGCGGGCCCTGAGGGAAAGGGTCTTGGACCCCAGGGCCCTTCCTGGGGACCAGCTTCTCATCCCTCGTTGTTCTTTCGCCCGCCCCGAGCTTCTTCGATATGCTGCGGATCGTCGTTGCCGATCCGTGATCCTGAGTTGTTTCTGGGCCCCCCTGGGCCCGTGGCGGCACGAAGACCGACAGCAGTGATTGCTTGCTTTGGACAGGACTCGCTGTCGGTGTCGCCGCATGCGTTGTTCGCTTTAGACAGAAGGCCGCCTGCCCAACAGCGGCTGCTGTCGGTTTTGGACAACATCTGTTGTGCATCATCATTTCTTATTTTTCCGTACCCATTTCGGTCGTCCCAAGCGGCGCAGCACTCCCATGGGGGCCCCTGCCCTCCATGACCCCCCGACGCAGCCGGCTCCGAGCAATGACGACGACGACGACGGCGGCGACGACGACGACGGCCACGGCGGCGGGAGCGCTTCCGCCTCGAGCGGCGCCGCACGCGCCCCGTGAGGCGCTCGGGGTTGTCGCCGGCCAGAGCGGCGCGGGCCCCCCCCCCCGCGCCCCCGGCCACTGCGGCCGCCGGTCGCGTCGGAGGGAGGCCCGGGTGTTTAGTGCTCGCAAGAATTTTAAACGGGGCCCGCTCGCCGCTCCTGGCCTCGCGAGGGCCCTCGCTGGGCCTTTAGGAGGAGGTGGGGGAGGAGGAGGAGGAGGTGGTGGAGGAGGAGGAGGAGGAGGAGGAGGAGGAGGAGGAGGAGGAGGAGGAGGGGGAGGAGGAGGAGGAGGCTGTCCCGCGGACGGCGCGGGATGGCCGGCCGGGAACGCCGGGGGAGCGGGCGGGGCCTTCCGGGGGCCCCGTGCCGAGAGCGTCTCGAGGCGTCGCGGCTCCCGGGGGGATCGGAGGGAGCTCCGCGCCCGTCGCTCGGCATCGCTCGGACGTGTGCAGTTTTCTTTCGGCGAGGACAATCGAGGAGCATCCTTGATCGTTTGGCGAAAAAGCCACGCACGAAACCGAGCAAAAACAAAGGGAATGGACGTCCGAGCGATGGCGAGGTCGCGGTGGCCGGCTCCCGGCAGCCGGCCGGGGAGGGGGGGGGCGCGAGAGGACCCCGCCCTTGAAAACACGGGGGGGGCGGTCCCCTCTCCTCGGGAGACGCTTGATGGGGGGGGATCCCACGGGGGGATAGGATCCCAGGGGGGGGATCCCATGGGATTCCCTGGGGATCCCAGGGAGAGTCTCCCGATCTCCTGGTTCGGCCCCCTCCCCTGGAGGGGGGGGTGCCTCCCCCGGTCAGGGATGTTGGTTGCGGGGAGTGCCCCCACGCCTGGTTTCTGGGGGCGCCACACGTGTTGTTTTTTTTTGGGGGGGGGGGGCGGCGGTTCCGACGTGTCATGGGATGTGTTCCAGGCAAGAGTCTGGGAAACGCGTTCCCTCGAACATGCCGGGGTATGCCCAGATGAACTCTGGGACGGTCGGTGCCTGCTCATATGGAACACAAGGGGCCGGGTGGGAATGGAATATCAAGGTTTTTGGCAGTTATTTGGCCCCCTCTGGGCATTCCACGGGCCCCAGGGCTGTCGACAACACGACTTCTGAAGAATTGTTTCCGGGGGGAAATCGTTTGTCCGAAACGGGGATTTCTGTATACGAAGCCGCCGCCAGGGGGACCGGATCGGGTTGGCAACCGCTGGTTTCGCCGACGGCTAGTTTCGCCTGGCTGGTTTCGCCCAGTTGGTTTCGCCGCGCGGCGAAACCAACTGGGCGAAACCAGCTTCCGTCGGCGAAACCCGCTGCCGTCGGCGAAACCAGCTGCCGTCGGCGAAACCAGCTGCCGTCGGCGAAGCGGCGAAGTTGCCCGATCCGACCCGCCCGCTAGGGTCCGCCCGCCCGACCCGACCTGGCCGTAAGGGTCCGCGCGTGCTCGGTCGAGCGTGCCCCATACGTTACTGTCCCGCCCACCCAACCCGAGCCGCCCGTTTGGGTCCGCCCGCCCGACCCGACCCGCCCGTTAGGGTTCGCGCGTGTTCGGTCGAGCGTGCCCCACACTTTAATGTCCCGCCTGCCCGACCTGACCCGCCCGTTCGGGTCCGCCCGACCGACCCGACCCGACCCGCCCGCCAGGGTCCGCCCGCCCAACCCGACCCGCCCGTTAGGGTTCGCGCGTGTTCGGTCGAGGGTGCCCCACACTTCAATGTCCCGCCCGCCCGACCCGACCCGCCCGTTAGGGTCTGCCCGCCCGACCCGACCCGACCCGCCCGCTCGGGTACGCCAGCCCGACCCGACCCGCCCGCTCGGGTCCGTCGCCCGACGCCCGACGCCGACGACGACGACGACGACGACGACGACGACGACGACGACGACGACGACGACGACGACGACGACGACGGCGGCGGCGGCGGCGGCGGCGGCTGCGGCGGCGGCGGCGGCGACGACGACGACGACGGCGGCTGCGACGCTGACGCCGACGCTGACGACGGCGTCGGCAAAACCAGCGCCGGCGAAACCAGCGCGGCGGAACCAGCCGCCGGCGAAACCAGCGAGGCGAAACCAGCGGGTCGAAACCAGGGCTGGCGAAACTAGCGCGGGCGAAACCAGCCGTCAGCGAAACCAGCGGGGCGAAACCAGCGCCGGCGAAACCAGCGCCAGCGAAACCAGCTCATGCCATTGGGTTTCAGGGATCCTGGCAGGCGGCGGTTTCGCTTGGGTCCAGGACCCGTGACCCCCAGGACCCGTTTCTTCCATGCCAAGCTGATCCGTCGGGGGCGCCGAGATCGGGGCGGATAAGATTTGGACGATGGCCCGCAGCAGTTCTTGCCCTCTTGGGCTGGGTCTGCCACCGCGGGTCCTGGGCCAGGGCGGTGCCTGGCCATGATCGGGCTGGTGCCCTCCCGAAAGCAGAAGGACGTCGTAACCGTTGCGCCAGCCGCCGCTGTCGTTTCACTTTTTTGGAAGTCGTCGTCGTCGTCATCGTCGTCCATCGTCCATCGTCAATCGTCCATCGTCCATCGTCCATTGTCGGTCGTCGCCGTCGTCCGTCGTACGTCCACCGTCTTCTTCATTTTGTCGAATGTTCTGCTACATCACGCGCGACATCTTAGAAGCGCCCGTGAGCGCCCTGTTGCGCCTGGACTCTAGGCTGCGGGCCCTTCTCCAATATTCAAGTCAAAGGACTCTATGGGGACATGAAGACACTCTATTTCATGTCTTGGGTCACGGTGGTGGATAAGAGGCAAGGAAAGAGCAGGTGGCGAGCACGGGGGAAGGTGAGAGGTGACAGGCCGTCTCAGAAGGCGGCTGGGCTTCTCAGAAAGGACGCCAGTCACTCTTTTTATTATGACTGGTCACCATTCACGGCTGACGCGAGTTCTTCGCGGATCTCCGGGGCCTTTCCTGGCGCGCCTCCGCCCCGGGTCTCTTGGGTTCCGATGGTTTTGCTATGGAGAGCGTGACGCTCCCACACCAAAAATCCATGGACGTCCTGGGGTCTCAGGGTTGGGTTTCTCGTGGAAGGTTTTTTGTGGGCTGGCCTCCACTGTATGCCGTTGTTTCTTGTCCTAGTGGGGTGCAAACGCCCATGCTGTGATTTCGGGGCACAGGAATTTGGCTCAGGGTTTTGTTGGCCAAAAGGGTTCCTGCGCGCGTGCGCGTGTGTCGCTGTTGCTCCTCGCTCCGCCATGTCCAAGAACCTCTCCGAGGTGGAGAACGCGACGCTTGGTGCGGTGGGTGGTTGGCTGGACGTTACACTGCTGCAGGCCACAAACTACTGGAAGAACGCGGCTCAGCAGGGCCTGCCTTTCGAGACCAATCCGAAAGTGCTCTATCGCGGCTACGCCGCGAACTGTCTGAACAACGCCAGCTGTGTCATGCTCCAGTTCGCCGGCACCGGAGTCCTGCAGAAGTTCATCGTGAGGGGCGAGGACAGGACCCTGACGGGGATGGAGCAGATAGGGGCCGCCTTTGGCTCTGGCTACCTCTCGGGCTTCGTCTGCGGCCCCATTGAGCTGGCCATGATCCAGCAGCAGCGCAAGGGTGGCTCGCTCGTCGGCACCGCCGGCAGCTTGGTTGCCGGCGGACCCTCTACTGTGATGCGAGGCACGTTTGGGATTTGCTTGCGTGAAGGCATCTACTGTGGTGGCTTCTTGGGTTTGATGCCGGTGTTGCGTGCAAGCCTTCAGATGAATTTCCCAGACAGCATCGGTAAGACGGAGGATTCTGCTCGCTTCGGTGCTGCCCTGATTGGTGGCCCTGTCTGCTCCATGCTGAGCCATCCGCCAGATACCTTTAAGTCTTGCATGCAGGGCGACATCGAGCGCACGAAGTTCGGCTCCATGAGGGAGACCTACGCAGTCTTGGTGAAGGAGCGCGGCGTGGCGTCCCTCTGGGCTGGCGCACCCTGGCGTATCTTCCGGCAGCTTGTGGCCATGATGATTTTTGACAAGTGCTCCTCGCAGCTCAGTCGAATGCTCTTCCCGAGCCGCTTCGACTGAGGGAGGCGGCCGATCCAGTGTACGAGCACGGTGGGGTTTGAACTTTTGGGCAACTGTCGGCATCGCCCGATTGAGTGTACGATCGTAGTGTGTTTAGCTTCGACGTCGGGGCGCCAGAGGCCGCTCACGCCTGGAGCCAGACCGCCGCAGGCCTGGGCAAGGGGGCTGCCTGGAGCCCCGGGGCGAGCGCTGGCCCAACGGATGCGCGGCGGCCGCGGACAAAAGCGCGCCCCGGCCGTGCGGTCCAGTGCTCCGCCTTGCCCGGGGAGCCATCCTTCTCGGACCTCGTGAGGCGGCGGGTGTGGGCCTTCCTGGAGGATGTCTTGGAGGGCTCTTGGGCCGTCTTGGAGGTCTCTTGCGGGCCTATAGAGCCGTCTTAGGCCATCTTAAGGCCATCTGGGGCCGTCTCGGGACCATCTTCGGGCCATCTTCGCTGTCTCAACGGCCATCTTGGGTGTCTTGGAGGCATCTTGGAGGCCATCGTGGCCGTCTTGGAGGCTATCTTGGGCGTCTTGTGGGCCTCTTGGGCCGTCTTGCGGCCATCTTGGGGTCCTCTTGGGGGCCTCTTGGGCTGTCATGGGGCTATCTTGGAGGCCTTTTGGGCGCTCTTGGGTCGATGTTGGGGGCCGCTTGGGCCGTCTTGGGCCGTCGGAGAGCTAAAAAGCGGCAAAAGCCAACATCCTTCAACAACCTAAGGGACATCAATGATTTTAACCCTGTCGGGCGTTCCTGGAGGACGTCCTGGAGGGCTCTTGGGCCGTCTTGGAGGCCTCTTGCGGGTCTTTCGGGCAGTCTTGGCCATCTTGAGGCCATCTTGGGCCGTCTTGAGTGCATCTTGGGGCCATCTTGGCCGTCTTGGAGGCCATCTTGGCCGTCTTGGAGGCATCTTGGAGGCCATCTTGCCAGTCTTGGAGGCCATCTTGGGCATCTTGGGGGCCTCTTGGGCCGTCTTGGAGCCTTCTTGGGGCCCTCTTGGGGGCCTCTTGGGCTGTCATGGGGCAATCGTGGAGGCCTCCTGGGCGCTCTTGGGGCGATCTTGATGGCCTCTTGGGCCGTCGTGGGCCGTCGGAAGGCCGAACAGGAGCAAAAGCCCAAATCCCCAAACAACCTACGGCAAATCAATGATTTTGACC